GGATGGTCTCAAAAGACATATCAAGAATGTTTTGGAGAGATTCAGAATGGAAAAATGCTTTTCTAGCGTCGTTCCAATTCAGAAAGTGGACAAATTCAGTCTCATGCAATGTCCACATAACGAATTGGAACGCAATCAAATGAATGGAATTCTCTATGCATCAATTGTGGGAAATCTGATGTATGAGCAGACTTGTACGAGGCCATACATCGGCTTTGCTGTTGGAATGCTTGATTGATACCAAAGCAATCCAGGATTAGATCACTGAAAGGCCGCAAAGAAAGTGTTGAGATACCTGCAAGGGACAAAAAACCACATGCTTACATACAAAATGTCTGATTGTCTAGAGGTGGTTGGTTATTCAAATTCAGATTATGCCGGATGCGTTGATACCAGAAAATTCACTTTTGGATATTTGTTCCTACTAGCCGGATGAGCAATATCATGAAAAAGTGTGAAGCAGTCTGTCATAGCTGCATCTACTATAGAAGCTGAATTTGTGGCATGCTTCGAGGCCACAGTTCAAGGAAATTGGTTGCAGAACTTTATTTCGGGGCTTGGAATAGTCGACAGTATTGCCAAGCCGCTGAAAATTTATTGCGATAATTCTGCAGCAGTTTTCTTTCCAAAAAGAATGACAAATACACCAAATGTGCAAAATATATAGATCTAAAGTACCTTGTCGTTAAAGAAGAGGTTCAAAAACAAAAGATGTCAAGTGAGCATATTAGCACCAATCATACGAATGTAGATCTGTTAACTAAAGGATTGCGACATTTATTGCATATGTTGAAAGAATGAGCATTATGAATGTAATTTGATGAACATTATGTTTATGTATTTGACATCTCGAGCTCCCTTATGCATTGTTTCTGAAATTGAATATTTTCTTGTTCATTTATTTGTGCGCATAATTGTTTGAACAAGACGTAGTCTATCTTAGATATTAAAGTGGACCATTATCGATGTTTCCAATAATGAATGAATTAAGTAGAAAATTAGTATGTGGTACATGGAAGGATGCTAGACGTAGAACCGCTATAACATATATTAGTATACATGAACGATGTTAAACTTGTATCAATAAAGTTTATTATTTTTATTTAAACCATGAAGACATGTTCTGTCACTCGGCCAAGTGGAAGAATGTAAGATGTGGCCTCGTGTCACTTATTAATTAATTATTTAAATATAATGAAATTAATAATAAATTTAATAATAGATTTATTATTATTATTATTATTATTATTATTATTATTATAGAAGTGGGATAATGGTTATTATTATAGAAGATGAAACCACTTTATCATTACCCCACGTTGATAGAAGTGGGATAATGGTTTTTAATGTTAGGAATCTGGTCCTCTATTTGCCTATAGAAAGGTTAGAATAAATTCATTTTATCACTCAAAATAACTTACGTATTTTGGCATTGAGGCTAAGAGAAAGAAACCAGAAGATTCAACTATCGTCCTAACTAGAATATTCAACTTATCGTTCTGCCTATGAGAATGAGTTCAAACCAAGGTCAGTATACATGCATATATACATTTAATAAATCGTAATTGCAACAATTTTGTGAAAATCACAAAGTTCAAAGTTATGTGAATTATTTGATTATATTTTATTTTAGACTTACACGTATCTGTGATAGTCTGCAAATGATTGAATCGGCAGTTCAGACCATCTCCAACCCACTGTATTTATGCAGTGCATTGGTTGGAGTAACATTGTAGCTTCAATCCATTTTTGGAGTGGAATATTTTATGTATTTTTGTTATTTTGTGTAATTTTATTTTTTAAAGTCATATATAATTTTATTTTTTGAAAAGTCTTTTTTTAAAAAATAATATAAAATTTTATTTTTTTAAAATGATATATAATTTAAAAAAAATAATATATAGTTTATTTTTTAAATAGTGATATATAATTTTATAAATAAAATATGAATTATATATTTTTTTAGTGATGATGTAAAAACAAATTGAAGTTCGGGTGTAATTTATAAATATGAAAAATTATATAAAATAATATAAAAGATGAATATATAGATAATATACTTTTTACAGTAAAAATTGAAATTTGTGGTTGGAGTAAAATTATTGTAGACTAAATGCATTTTTACTGTAGCTGCTACAAAAATAAAGTAATAAATTGGAGATGACCTCACCCATTTTTTTGTTTGGAAAGCCATTTTTTTTTTCTTTTTTTAAATGTAGCCAACACCACGGTGCGCGTAAGGATGATGAAGAAGAAAGAGAATGAGGAAAGAGGACCGGTGTGGAAGAAAAAAAAAAAAAATTGCGAAGAAGAAGAAAGAAGAGAACCTGGTGCAGCGACAGCTTTGGATGTGTAATTGTGTAAAGGCAAAATTGTGTATTTTATAATAATAATAATATATCAATATTTTTGTAATTTATTTTTATCGATTTATTTATTTAAAATTTAATTTGTATACTTACTAAATTTATTAATTTAATTATTTTAATATTGTAACAATTTAATAAATTATTCATTTTGCGCTTGTTTTTAATTAATTTATAATTGAGTTTGATTTTTGTGGAAATAGGTTCGAAGTTGCAATTGGTTTCGATGCTTTGAAGAGAGTTGACGATGCTTTGAAGAGAGTTGACGTTGTAGGCATGTGAAGAACACTGTAATTTTTAATGAATCTTGATTCGGGTTCGAGTATCAGGAATCACCGATGCGCACGTTGGATCTGCTTGTATCCCAACGCGGATGATCGATAGTCTGCAATTCGTGCGCCAATAGAACAGAGTAGGTGACGAATTGGGGATGATATGTTTGTTAGTGTGTGTGAAAGGGGAGAATAATAAAATATTGGTTTGTCCCACATAAGAAGAATAAACAAACCACCACGTCCTTGGATTGGATATTGGCTTGGGCTTGTACTTTGACTTGGGCTTGAGATTGAGCATATATATATATATATATAGTCAAGATTGGGTCTTGGGGCCGTGGGGCTCGTGGGCCGGGCTCAATCACAGAAAAAATCCAATTAATTTAAAATTTTACTTTTATTTTGACAATTTCAAATTTAATCGGATAAAGTAAATTTAATCGGATAAAGCAAAATTATGGCAACAAACATTGCAACGTGTGGAGGTGGTTATGGTTTTAGTGGCCACCTGATATTTTAAATCCTCCTCTTCTTAAATTAAAGAGCGTAGCCAACAATCCATGTGAATCAATTCTTAAAATACACAACACACTTACTCTCGGGTTTTTTTGTTTTTCTTTTAGATTTCCTTCAAAAACTTCCTAAGATTTTCTCTGTTCGGTCGTGGTGGGATCGCCAATCCTTAATTGATTCGTTTTATCCTGAGAAGTAACCGGTGGCGGGCCAAATTTGCTTCAAGGAAATAGCTTGCAACGTGAAACTTAAATCTGTTCTTAATCAGATCTGTATTTTGAATTGGCCATCTTGATTTTCAATAATATTTTTACCTAACATTGTCTTATATCACCTATATGTCTTCAATATCGCTTCTTCATGGATCACTGACCGATAGTCTACAAATGGTAGAACCAACTATTCAATCATTTTTTAATTTTTTTTTTAATATTTGTGTGACTACGACAACACGAGTCACCACCATGCAGGCAGTAGAACATGGAAGGTTAAAAAGAAAAAAAAAGGAAGAGGAAAGAAGAATGAGGAGGACCAATGAGGATAGACGTTAAAAAATAAAAGAATTGGAAAGATGATAAAAAAAAAAAAAAAGAAAAAGAAAAAGAAAAAAAAGAGTGAGAGCCTACGACTAATATGTGTAATTGTGTAAATAAATTGATTAGGACAAAATTGTGTATTTTATAATAATAATAATAAAAGTATATTTATAATTAAAGTTTTTATATATTATGAATTTCTAATTAAAATTAAAATTAAAATTAATATTAATGAAAATAAATAATTATTAATGATATTAAAAAATAATAAAATTATAATATTGTATTTTAGGTCTTTTTCAAATTTATAACTTTTTATTATATAATCTAATATATCAATATTTTTATAATTTATTTTTATTAGTTTTAATTTGAAATTTAATTTAATTACTTACTAAATTTATTAATTTAATTAATTATTTATTTTTATATAATAAATAAATAACAAATATTTTTAGGTGATGGAAATGACGGATTTAAAATTGTTTCTCTTCTCGGATTTGATAACATAATATCAAAATTATTTTTTTTTTGTAGCTTTTTATTTAGAATTTAATAATATAATACCAATTTTCTTCTATTTGTGGTTTTGTGGATCATTTTATTTTATTTTATTTTATTTTTGTTTCAATCGAAAATGTTCGATAATTCGACTATGTAAAAATATACAAATAATGTATATCTATACAAAGTACCGACATAACATAATCTGTCGTAAGAGTACTAATATATATATATATATGTATAAATTTCCTTCAAAATATTACATAAAATATCTATATTTTTCATCTCAACTCAAAATTTATTTTTCTACTATTTTCGTCTGTGCCAATCAAAAGTATTCATTTTCTATGTTAAAAAAAATAATCACACACTAACATCAAAATACTTTAAGTTTTTTTACTTAAATCACGTACATCTCATTACACATACAATTAATCTTATACCTAAAGTCAAAAGACAAAAATTATGTATGATATAATGCTAATAACATTTGTGTAATATAAAAATATTTGTAATGTTAAATAGATGTTACAATTACTAAAAAAAAATTGATATTTTATTATGGACGAACAAAAATGAATATTTTCTTACGGCCGGAGGGAGTATTATATTTTAAATTACTACAAAAGCCCAAAGGCTCTTTCGTTAGTACGGAGGGAGTATTTTGTTTCATTATATAACCAAATTTATTTTATTTTTTTAATACACAAACAACTATATACGTTCCAATTGAAATTTTTACTATTTTTAAGCTATGTGCACCCAAACCCAATTTGTCTCTTTAACAATTTTGTAGACCATAAGACTTAAATTAAACAAAGTAATCAATAAATCTTAAAAGTATCACTGCAAGTAGTGAACAAAGAACAACTTAAAATACTGATCAATTCACTCACTTAGCCATGTAAATTTTACTGCTGACTTTTATGCTACAAAAGATCAATACAAAGTACAGAAGCAAGCAAGTCGAAACCTCGACGAATTTCAGTTAGTCTAAAAACTAACCTCTTGTCATTGCTTTGATGTGTTGCTGAGGGGCCAGAAATAAACTGCACCAACTAACTTCCGGTTGTATTCTTAAGAGAGGGGGAGTGTTGTGTTAGCATATCATCTCTATTGCGCTCGGTAAAATTCTCAACTTTCTTGGAAGGAATCCGAGGTATTCTCCATCTGACTGGACGAATATGCTGTTGCTGCTAACTATCTCCTCGATTTCGATGGAACATGCCCTGAAAGAATGACAACACAAAACTGTTGAAAAGAGTTCAAATTTGGTTGCCATAGTAAGAGGATTCCAGTTGTTTCTTTTTAAGGTTTGGTTTTGGTGTCCCGTACTACAAATCAAACTAGTTTCCCTTAAAACCATCAAATCATATACTTTTTTTCGTTTAATATATTATAAATAAAAAATAAAAAAAATCGAATATTCATTCAAAATATTACCTCAAAAACTTATTTACATCACATCAAATATGTATATATATAATAATTTAAATTTAAATTTTTATTAATCTCAAACCCCGAATCCAAATGAAAAAACGATAGGGTAGGAACAACACACACATAGCTGTTTGTTGAAGCTGATGGATTGTCGAATGAGAAACACATCAGCCTATTATTGCATCCAACATTAAATTCCGAGTATATTATATTTCATTCTACCACGGAACCATAGACACATCCGGTACAAGTAATAGTACAATTAAGAGACATCAATTCCAATAATCTTTATATTCTAAGAGCATGCATTTGAATGTGCACAATATATGGTGTGCAATTTTGTACCTACTATTCAATAGTTTATTTTATCTCAAAAAACCAACACTCATTTTCAGAAAATATATATACACACTGAATCAAACAATTATTTTCACATAAAAAAATACAAAACAAAAACAAAACCACGGAAGAACACACCACATAATAGTTAAATTTCATTACGCTATCATGTTTACTAAAAAACAGTTTGCACACATGAGAGCGAGAGAAATCGCAACTTATAATCTACGGAACTCTCCTAGCAAGTTTTTTCTCCATGGGCAATTGAAAGTAGAAAGAGAGAAGCACAGTTAGAGAAAAATGGGCTACATTGTACAAAATCCACCCGTGGTTTCAAAAAATTGCGCCAAATCCCCAATACTTCTAAAACTGCGTCAAACTAGGTTTCATGAACTCTCCGTCTAACCCCCTCGGCAGTCCTTATTTAAGGGTATTTGACCTAAATGCGCACAAACTACGAAAAATAGTAAAAATAAACTATTTTTGAGTATATTTACTATTTTTTGAGGCTAAATATAAGAAAAATAAATACATTTGTAATTTTAGGGGTTTAGAAATTGAAATTCTAAAATTTATTTGCAGTTTGGGCGTATTTAGATCAAATACCATTAAATAAGGACCACCACAGGAGGTTAGATGCAGAGTTTATAAAATCATAAGGGAGTTTGACGTAATTTTAGAAGTATATGAGATTTAGCGCAATTTCATGAAATTACACGTAGATTTTGTGCAATTTAGCAGATAAAAATGCTACATAGGGAGCTATGATGAGTAGGTACCTTCTTGAAGAAACGTTCTTCACGGATAAGTGTGTACCATTATATAGTTTGTGCAATTTCAGGATAAAATCATACCACTTGAAATCCTGAAGCACAACCACCTGAAACAATACGTATGTTGACATGAGTTTTTTCCACATAATATTAGCCAATGCAAGTGCTTTTTTTCTACCTCAAAGTCTCTGCTTGATGGGTGAGCATTCGGGGAAATTTTCATTCCACCACCAAAATATTTGGCATTTCCAACACAAAGGGCCGTCACCTGGGTGTAAGTTTCCCAATCACCATCATCAATCTTGATGAGATTAAAGAAACGAAAAGAAAAGAAAATGTTAGGAATTAGAAACAATAACCTAATGTGTTACAGTTGAGTAATGCACAGTTACACAAGGAAATTACGTAGGCTTGCAGACCTTTATTCTAAGGTCCACATTGCGATGACCAAAAAACGCTTGCAAAGAACCAATAACATAACAAAGATTTCCAAAATTTTTGTATCTTGATGCATAATAACCAGCCTTAGCACTCCTGCATGTTTGAAAATGAGTACTAAATAAATAAACAACGAATATTTTTCAGTTGAGACCGTATTTTCATTACATGTTAACAAGTGTGTGCTTACAAATGAACATCAGCAACATTTATAAAATAATGAGATTCATCTTCTCCACCGATAACTCCAACATCAATGCGAGATCTTACCCCTGAAATATTGCAAAAAAAATGTTCATAATCATGTGGAGTTGCATTGGCTCACATGTTTCTGAATGTTTGAAAAGAGAGAAATCAGCAATAATAATAGTATGAATAGACTCAACATATTTAATACCTTTAGCAATACGTTCGATTGCATCATGAGGATCGTTCTTCCTGACCACACAAGAATAATTTCATCTACTTATAATACTAATGTGGGCCAAAATTACAAGAATGAGAAGCTCATTTATAAAAATATTGGAAGAAAGTGATAAACCAACCAGCCAAATGTTCTAGCAAAATCTGAACCAGTCCCCAATGGAATGAGCTGTAGGAAAAAAAGAGAGATAACATTTCTCTCAAGGGATCATATATGGGACTGACAAGCAGAGCAGTATAAACTCAGCCTATCTGTCGAAAAGATCCCAGGATTACTGAGAAGAAAGCACAATTATCATCACTTACACCAAGAGCTGTTGTCTGGACACCATTCTTAGAATCATTAGAAACAGGTTTCCCGGCCCAAAAAAAACCATTAACCACCTGCAGTTTGAGACATCCTAGTCATACATAATTTAGTGGGAGCAATCCAATATGGGGCTCAACTGACAATGGTTCAGTTGCAATACGAATATGACTAGAAAAAACCCTTGTTTCTTAACTTCGAAGAGAAAAGATATAATACAAACCCATTGCCATGCCACTTTATCCTCAACTGGATCAGAAATGTCGTGAACCATGATATAGGGTTTCATCTTTTGTAAAACAACATGCATGCAAACACATTACACAGTAATGGATTTCAATATCAGAGTATTAACATCAAAAAGTATCAAGAAATCTGATAAATCTTCCGCCATGCTATATTTGATTCTTCCAACCAAGAAATTGATTGAATACTTAAGTTTAATGGAGAAATATGCAAAGACTGCTTGCCAACAATAAATCACAGAAAAACAGTGTCATATGATTGTATTTTAAAGCAATGAACTCTATAGCAGCAAGATGCACAAATTTATTGAGTTTGTTAAGGATCATGAGTTAAAATTAATGTGGTTATTAAACCCTTGTTCTTCCAAAAGGACAACAAAACAAACCTCGTGAAGAGTTCCATCACCTCCAACAGCAATCACTGCATCAGCACCGTCACGTATAGCCTATGTATAGAATATCACTCAAATAAATTCCACAAATGTGAGAAGCTTGCATCCAACAAAATGGCTAAATCTTACCTCTCTTGTGATGTCAATAGCATGAGAAGGTCCCGAAGTTAAAGATTCACATATCTGATGAAACAAGGAAAAAACATCCAAAAGCCTAATTAACGTATGGTTTTGGATAGAGATTGCCATTATATAGAATTTCAAACAGAAACTTTTACATGTGAGGCAAATCCCTTTTTAGCTCTATGCAATGCAAATATATCTTTTATTAGAATTATGTGAGTATATCTGCACATATAAGTAATACGCACAAGAATATCATGCTTTTAAGCATGACACATCTAAGCACGAGGTGTTATTGTTAATAAGCACTAGGTGCATTTTCTTCTATGTGAAACACAAGATTACACACTACTAGTAAGTACCAGGTGTCATTTTTTTTTCTATGTGAAGAAACCTTAGCATGACGTGTCTAAGCACGAGGTTGCACATGGCTAGTCAGTACGACATGTCATAATGAACTCACCTGTGTGTTTCTGTAACTCCCCTTAAAACATGTCTTTGTCAGTTTGTCTCATTAAAATGGGAGTGGAATTCACCTATCCAGGTGGGTGATCAAAAGATTTCACTACTACGCCTATCTTGGTGGTCGTTACTTTCAGTGAAGGCCTTCTTCGCCTTCCACCTAAGCTGCGCAGGGAAGGCCCTAACCCAATCCCAACCTATACTCCTCTCTACTCATAGACATGATAAACAAGAGTTTTCGCCATGCTAGGCATGTGTCGCAATGCATACAAATGTTTTCACTTTCAAGTAAGGATTAAAAAATCTTGTGCCCTAAATACCTATAAATAGTGTCATTCCCTACTTCATTCATAGATAAAAGAAAATGAAGAAAATGAGTTGAGACATTTAGTATAAAGGAAAAGTGGAAAAAAGTGCCCTCACCTTGATCAGGTCGCTAGTGTGGTGCCTTGGAGGTTCTAGTAAGTACATATGGTGAACATGCATCTCTTTTGCTCCAACGGAGTTGGTTGAGTCCTGACTTAAAGTTTCCGACTGGTCCTCTTTGTCATCAAACCAAAAAGCAGTAGAAATTTGAGTATCAAAGATCTTTTGGTAAAAGGTAAACATGCCTTTATATATAATTATGTAGATTGTGAAATTTGTGTTTTATATGCCTTGGGTATAGTACCCTTTGTTCCCACATCCTTTATTGGTCACATAGACAGATATCATAAGAGCATCACCACAAAATGATGGCCCAAGATTGGCCTCAACCATTAGATATCATACCATATTCATTAAAGTTATATTCTTTCTTTCCACAACTTCATTTTGTTAGGGTGTTTCTCTAATGCTTAACTGTCTCAGTATTAATTTACTTTCATAGAATTCTTTGAATTCACTTGACATATACTCACCTCCCCAAGATGTCCTCAAACACTTATCATTTTTTCGAGTTGATTCTAAACCAAGGCAATATATGCCCTAAAGCATCTTAATGATTCACTTTTATATTATAAGAGATAAATGCGAGATACTCTGTATATTCATCTGTCAATGTGATGAAATACAAATATCCATGTCTAGTCAGCACACTTAAGGGACCACATATACCGAATGCATAGGTTCCAAAATGTTTTTGTGTATGGCTTTACCAAATGATTGTCTTGTTGTCTTTCGTTGAAGACAAACTTCACAAGTAAGGAGATTAACCTTAGTCAACGAACCATAGTCAACGAACCAAGCAAGCCTCTCTTGGCTAGCTTATTCATTTTATCTTTACCAATGTGTCCAAGTCTTGCATGCCATGTGAAATAATCATCAGATTTAACTATTAGGCATTTAATTGGACTTACGCCATCACAATTGAATACAAATATGCCATCATGGTTATACCAAGAGCACAAAATCTCATTACCATAAGAGATATCGCATACATTATGGTGAAAATTTAAGCACAAGCCAAAACGCATGAGATTATAAACAGAAATTAAGGGCGTGTTTGTTTGGGGGTTTGGATTTTGGATTGGGATTTGAATAGTAAAAATTTTGAATTTGAATAGTTGTATGATGTGATATAAATAGGGTTTGATGTGATGTTTTGAATGTAAAATTGATTTTTAGTATAATATAAAAAATGAAAAATAGGTGTTTGATTTGATGTTTTTGGGGGAAAAAAATTGGATGAATAGTGGAAATCCTCCAAAATCCTTCAAACAAACACACCCTAAATTTCTCCTAATCATTGGTACATATAGACAGTCATTCAAAACCAAAAAACTTCTATTATTAAAAGGAACTTTGGAAGCTCCAGCTCTTTCTAATTCAAGTTTTGCGTTGTTGCCACATAGACATATTTAGATCCTTGCGGAATCTTGAGATGATGTAAAAAGAGACCTTTATTGCTTACTATGTGATTTGTTGCTCTTGAATCAATTACCACAAAGAGTCAAATATAAGTGTGCACGACGAAATATACACTTAAGTAGAAATGGTATGCACTTTGGGTTCTTTGCATGTATCATTCTTTCCACAAGCAAAGCACTAAAGCTTACTTTTGTCTCAAGGCATCTTAGGCTTAGCTTTACCTTTCTCTTTAGATTTGGATCCTTCTTGAAGAAAAAGAAAAGAAAGAAAAAGAAAACCTTTTCTTTGCCATGTTATTTTTCTCTCTCAAACTTTCTCCTTCTTAAGGATTTTTCGAATAAGAGGCTTTCTTTATTTCCATGACTTCAACTTCAAGCAACAAATGTTTGGCAATGTCATCAAAGGTTTTAATTTGATGATTGTGGCGCAAATTGATCTTCATCAATTGCCATTTATCTTCAGGTAAGGTACGAAGCAGAACTTGCACTTGTTGCTCATTGTTTAGAGTATGACCAAAGGACTTTAGACACCCTGTCATGCTAATCATTTCTCGCGGATGTGAATCCATGGAGTGATCAGATTGTTTCACATAGTTTGAATTTTAGAGTAAGTGTCCGTTGTTTTTACAATGAAACCATGCCATATTGGTTTCTGGCCTCGTCCTTGCATGGATTTGACTGTAGATAAATTAGAAAAATCTACCAACACATCATCAATAATTGCACTAAGCAAGGTGATGCGAGCTAGCATGCCCCTCTCCTTGAACATCATATTCTCTCCTTGAGGCATTGCAAGTTGATTTCTCAACCACCATTGTCAGAACTTGACCAGTACCTTGCTCCGTGCATACAACGTGATACTTTCCTTGCATACAACTTGACACATCACACTCGATGTATCTTGCTTATAACATAATACTTGTTCCACATGCACTGGCATGTCTCGATGTGTTTCACTAGGAATGTGCCACTCGTGCTTACTAGCTACGCCTACGTGCCACCTCATGCTTATATACATCATGCTTAAAGTTTCTTCACATAGAAGAAATGATATTTCACGCTTACAAGCAAATGTGCCACCTCGTGCCTAAAGAGTTGATATTCTTGTGTGTGATTTTTATGTGCAAATATGCTCACATAATTTTAACAAAAATGAAGTTACAAATTATGCCACATAAAATCATGTGCACACATACACTAGTTTTTTCTTGATCATAGCATTTGAGATTCTTGCTAGACATGAAACTGATTTACTTCTGTACATATAAATAAATAAAATTGTATTATGTATAATTTAATGCAATATCATATAGTTTAGACAATACACGGAAACTTCATTTAATGATTGTGAAGTACTGAAAAATCATCCAAAATAATCAATTGAGTTTTACCATAAGTAATTCTTTCCGGCCACATTCAGAGACCATTTTATTCAATATTTTACAAAACACAGTGAAACGTTCAGAGATGTGTTTTCTCCTACAGAGTATCCCTTTGCTAGTGTGCTCCATTAACTACACCAAATGTCCACTTGATAGTAACAAATCAAAAGATTCATAAGAACACATTGAGTAAACATTCACTCACATTATAATCCGAACCGAGGCGAGACCTCAGGTATGGTAAGAGTTTCTTCCACTCCTTTCCCGTACTTCCATTAGCTCCTGCACCAATTTCAACCATTCACGATTCATCCAAACCCAGTAATCGCAATAACAAGCAAAAAATAATAGACATATCCAATTTCTAGCTCAAGTTTGCGCGCCCAATCGTTTCTACCAATTGTTTCGTTTAGCTTTTCAACTTGAACAAACCAAGACAAACCTCTTTCAGCCTATTACCCTAGAATGCGAGTCCGAGCACACAATAACACTTGCAACAAAAGCAAAGGAGGAAAGACTAAAGTTTCGGAAAACCACAAAAAGGAATGCGATCCTGCAGCTTCGCAAACAGACTAAACCGAGGGTTTAAGTGGAAGTACAGAAACACAGGCGTGCCATAGCAAAGCGAAATCGAGAGAAGCAAAAAGTATTATAATTCTCGAAACCTCTGGGATTGACGACGAAGACGAGGTTACAGTGGCGAGAGGAAGCGCCAGTGAGGTGAGGACGGTCAGCGGCGCGATCTGGAGCCAAGGGGTGCTCGGCGCGGATGATCGAGGGCTTATCCATTGGCGCAATTGCCACGGCAGTCCATAAAATCATTCCGATGTGCGTATCGTGTATTGTATTTATTGGGAGAGAGAGAGAGAAAGAGAGAGTGAAAGCAGGAAGGAAGGAAGGAAGGAGACGGGTTCGAAATCAGGCGACGACCTAAAGGAAAATGATACTGTGAAAAGTGACACAGATTCTGATGGAAATTAAACCATATACGATTCAAATTGGGCATCGGCAGTCGGTCGGGTCGGATATTTTTAATTCCAAACATCTTATTAGATTATTTAAAATTTTAAGTGATATACTATACTATTCGAATAGAATCAATTATTTAGATAGGGTAAGTTTCTTTTGAAAAGGTTCGAGGGAATTTGGAATTGGATTTGTTGAGAATTTTGGTCCGCTCGAAGCCTAATTTAACATTTTCTCGGAAAAAATTAGTTGACTCATTTCTTAATCCAGTCCACCGAATCGGCCCAATTCTACAATCTTAACTCATTTTGTTTACCCAAACCTATTTTATCTTAAATTAAATTTGTTAGGTTGTTGATTTTGTTATAACCGTGTGTAGATTTTGGGGTGAGTCAAGTCAGATTTATGAGAGATTCAGAACCGAATAGAGAGAGTGAGGGCGAGACCGTGAGAGGGAGAGAAGAGATTTCACGGGTTTTCCGGTGAGTGATTTCGGTGAGCTTCGAATCCTTTCCGATGACCGGAATGATTCCGGTGGGTGTTAAGGCTTTGAGTGAAGAGCCGACCTCCACTTTGAAACGTGGTTATTGTAGATCATCGCGCACCATAGGACTGAGTCGAAAACTGCTGTCTTTTATTCGCTGGTGTGATGATAGGAGGAAAGATAGGGTGAAAGAAGGATCGTCAGAGCCGTTCGGAGGAGTTCCAGTCGCCAATGTTGCTGGTCGGAGGAGATGACCGGAGCTGTAGTTCGGCGCTTCTGTTCAGGGCTAAACACCCCCGGAGTTCCGATGCCGGAAGTCGCACGGCCGAAAACTGAAGTTGTTGTCGATCGTCGGCAGAATTGGAAATAAGCGAACATAGAAGTAGAACACGAAACATGGAGTTCTCATCTTCAATTTCAATTGAGTTTCATTTCAATTTTCCAATTAGTTTCTGCTTGTTTGTGATTTGATTTCTCAATTCCAGCCTTGTTTGAGCCTTATTAGTATGTGTTAATTCATTTCGTGTCGGTTTACATTAATTTGGCTTATTCGATTTGATTGCTTCCGCTATTAATAATATGTGTGTGTTTGTTTGGAGGTTTGAATTTTAAATTTGAATTTTTGAGGATTTTAAAATAAAAATTTTTAAGTTGTGTTTGTTCGAGAGTTTAAATTTTGTAATGATTATGTTGTAAGAAGTTATTATTTTATTAAAAAAAATATATTGATGTGATAGTTTCAATTAAATAATATTTAAATATTATAAAAAAATTGTGAGTAATAATTAAAAGTAATATTTGATTTGATATAATATGAATTAAAATAAAAATTATTATGTGAATAAAGACCATTTTTTTATCACATTGATGGAGATTTCTCCTGCTCAATATTTTTTTTATTTTTTAAACCCACTAGCTTTGTAAAATTTCTATTGTTGATTTTTTTTATATATATTTTGTTTTTCTTAAATATATATATTTTTATTTCCCAAATGAAATGCTTCTTTATTTGAAGAACACCCAACTGTCTAATAATTATCCATGACTTTTGATATCGACAATTTTGCAGCTAGGGACTAGGGGTGGGGTACGAGACTAGGGTAGGGTTTGGGTGGAATTTCAATTCAATTTTCGGAACAGTAAATGTACAGTGTAAATAACTAAAAATCCACGAAACGAACACAGGCTATTTGTATTTTTGTATACCAGGTTTATGCGATAAATTCAAAAAGATTCGGGAATAAATTCACTAACATGATAAATTTGATTTTGTATTTTTTAGGTATATAAATTTGAGTTGGATTTAGGGGCATTTAGCAATTAGTTTATAGTTGTTAGTGGTGGTTAGTTGTTAGTTTATTTGACTAACGAATTATATTAATTATTTATTTTAAATTTTTTGATAAAATAAAATAATTTATAAATATTTATATGTAAAATGATAATTAATGATATTTGAGTATTTTATTTTTAGAATTACCCATAATAGGTGGAACTATCTGACGTAATTTTATAGTCTTTATTACCTTAAATATTATTAAATTTTATTATTTTATTATATTTATATATTGAAATTATTTTATTTTATATTAAACATAAAATTTATATGATACTTTATCCGTCCCACAATGATGTCTTGGTTACGGTAGACACGGAAATTTAAATAAAGTATAATTAGTAGATAGTTAAGAATGTATTTGTGAAAATAATTAATATAATATAAATTATTATAAATTAAAATTAAGATAACTAATTAGTTTCATTAAAATTGAAAAAAATAAATTTAAAATTTAAAATGAGATTAAAATGCATAATTGTTTTCCAAAAAAAAAGAAAGTGACATGAAATGTGAGACGGACAAAAACGGAAACATGGACATGATAGATGAGACGGAGGAAGTAATATATAAAAATAGATTAATAATATTCATATAGTGTTTTTTGCCTAAATTTTATTAAACTTATATATTTATAAATAAAATTATTAATATATACAAGAATTATAATTTTAATTTTTTTTAAATTTATAAAATTAAAATCATAAACTTAAAAAAATAAATATATTAAAATAATTATTAAGTAATGCAGCAACAAAAAAAAAGAACATAATGTTTTTTTTATGTCATGAGAGGCAAATGAAAAAATGCATATATTTTTTTTTAAGAAAGGCATAATGCAGTACAATTCATCTAAAATAAACAACAAGATACAATATATCCTAAAATTGTTTACTTCATTTATTTGGCCGAGTTGACATGAGATCATAAGCGATATTGTCCTGAATTCTTGATATTTGTTTGAAAGTTGATTTTTCAATATTGTCATGCTTTGAATTAACTTCGAGATCATCATATTCAGTGTGGAAAAAAATTAGGATCACCATCCATAAATTTAACCGTCAGATCAACGATTTTACTTAGCCTAATGTAATTATGCAAAGTAAAGGTTGCGCAAATGATTCTGTTTTGGACTTCCACCGAATACATCGGCATTTTTTTGCGTATATTCCTTCAAGCTCTAAGAATTTCAAAAGTCCTTTCAATGCAACTCTTTAACGATGAATAATGGTAATTAAAGATTTCTCGATATCCTCTCAGATTATTTCTACAATAATCTTATTGATGATACTTTATTTTTTAATACAGCGTAAAAAAAATTATTTCTTTTTGGATAACTTTTGTCTGCCAAATAAGATTTTTCTACAAATATAATAATATTATTATATAATATAACAATATTCTAAATAAACAAAGAAAAATATTTCAGAACTTAAACAAACTACTTGTAGGAGCAGAGGCGGAACTAGAAGTCAATGCAAGGGGGGCTAGTTCTTAATTTTTTAAAAATAACACTGATTAAAAATATATATTTCATTATTGTAAAACAATAAAAAATACATATTGTATATATTTATTTTTATATTGTTTAAAAATAATAAATAGAACTATTTTTTTTTTTAGAAAAGAATATTTAAAAAATTATTAAAAGTATCTTATTATCACAATAAAAGTGCATTTAACTTTTGTTATATATATTGTATTATCTTATAATATTTCTAAAAAATTATATGAAATTAAACTATTAGGCATAAGCATATTTAATTATTTTTTTAGTATTATTCTTTATGTAATTTAAATATTTTTAATATACAAATACATACTTATAAAAAAAAATTAGAAAATTATTTAAATAAAATAATGGAGGCGGGGCCCGGGCAGGGGGGCTGAAGCCCCCTTGCCGTATGGTGGTTCCGCCTCTGTCTAGGAGGTTTCGAAAAGTTTAACTTAGGATCATTGATAACGTCTATAAATATTTGTGTATCATGTGCAGATCATTCTCATCCAGTCAAAACATAAGTAAATAATAAGTCCAAATTACATACGAGAAGAACGTTCGTAGTTGGTTCTTTTTTCCCCCTATATACGGTAGTTTTATTTCTTTTAGAACAACCATAGCAATGTGTGTACCATTAATAGCTCTGATACACTTCTAACAACATACACAAAGTTTGTAAATAAACTTGAAAATTAGCCAATACAAAATTTTGAAAAGAAAATTAAATAAAGCAATATATTACAAATATCTTGAAATGTGGCATGTATTGAGAGTTGTTGATGATATATGATGGTATTTCGTGGAATTTACAATCTCTTGGCTTTAATATGTCATTCGAAAGACCATTAATAGCATCTAAAACTTATTTAAATATTCTACTCATAGTTTCTCAAAAACATTGAAATCGTTCATATACATCTCTATTTGAAGCGCATATACTAAGTACCAAAACAAATATTCCAACTTTTGGATTTTTCCAAAATCAACATTCTTTATAATCTTTCAATCCATACATATTTTTTAGATCACTACATAATTTTTTAAGGGTGTCTTTGTTTGGGGGTTTGGATTTTGAGTTGGGATTTGAATAGTAAAAAATTTGAATTTGAATAGTTGTACGATGTGATATAAATAGGTGTTGATGTGATGTTTTGAATGTAAAATTGATTTTTAGTATAATATAAAAAATGAAAAATAGGTGTTTGATTTGATATTTTTGAGGGAAAAAAATTAGATGAATAGTAAGATTTTGCACAAATCTTACAAACGAACACACCCTAAATGTATCTTGATTCATTCTAAAAGATTAAAACATCTTTTTTCATGTCTACTTAATAATTCTATTCATCTTTCACCGGTAAAGTACGAATTGAAACATGACTACTTATATAAGTAATTAACATAGTAATATGCAAGATAACTCATTGCTCATGTAATGAAATCCCAATAATTATTCTCAAAATCTATTACTTGAAAAAAATTGCAAACAAAATTGTTTGTCTTACCAGAGGTGTCAATGCATCCTACAAGATTATTGTTATCCATATATGTAAATATAAATTAACAACAAACTATAATAGTGTAAATTATCAAAAAATATTATACTATAGTCAAACAAATTAATATTCAATGCCAACAAAATCAAAATATACTGGTGAATCATACCTAAAATAGTCAAA